AGCATTTACGGAGTTTAGTTAAAAATAAGATGGGGAGATGTCTTGACATGTTTACAAGAAAAGAATTTTCCACAATCTAATATAACTTTTGGCGAACAAAACACCTAAAGGGTTGATAAAAAAAACACATCAATGTTTACCTAATCACTACTTCACCACAAGCGGACCTTATTAGTCCGTCCTGGTAAAACGATAAATTACGTCCAATATCAAGGACTCTGATCAGGACTTTCTGAGACTGAAAGGAATCACCTCTTAATTACCGGTGTTCCCAACCAAATACCCGAGGTGGTAGCACCTGCTAGCAAATTACCATTGGCATTTACCTATCCCCAAACTGGGGCAAAAACACTATGAAAGTGTAAAAATATTTTAATACCATGTTTGTAAAAATTATTACCAAATACATTATTACCAGCAATACATTTTTGAAAAAAAATTACTAGCAATACATTTTGGAAAATAATATATTACCAGCAATAAAATAGTCTAGCTAAATAACCCATTGAGCTTGATATGCCGTAAAACAAAAGAAACAAACTATCCAACATTAAAAACAAGCAGTACTAGTAATACAAATAAATTACCAATGGTTTACCTCTCCCAAAAAAAATGTCATTTTTGACGTTCACTATAACGTCAAAAAGAATTATTTTTGACCAACCAATGTTTACGTTCTAAAACCAGTCAAATTCATATCTAAATACTCTTAAAAATGTAATTACCAATCTTTACTAAATACATTAAATTGAAGGGCAGACTTCTAAGCATTGGTAACCAGTATTTAAAGAATCAAACGGTAACCTCCGACTGGAAAATATTTGACCATTCCAAATGAATTGAAAAAACATTCGATTTTTGTTGAATTCCGAATGACACATAACTAAGTAGTAATTAATATTGGGTATTTAGTTATGATGGCTTATATACAAATATATATATATAATCGAAATAAGTATTGATCTTTGGTGACCCTTATTTATATATATATACTAAGGCGCATTTGTCATTCAACACCCACAGACCCGCCTGTGGTTTATACTCAACAGTGCTGAGCAGACCTTAGTTACAATCTCTGAGAAAGAGCGTGTTATCTAGCGTGATCAAAATTTGAACAAGGCAATCGGACGCTTTTTCCCTCGGGCACGATGATCAGACTTCGTGCAGAGAAGGTTCCGTCTACCCAATTTTTACTTGTTTTTATTTTTTTTTCAGGCAACAAAGTCGATCCATTCTGATAACTCAGGAAGTCTCCTTCCACAAATCGACCGTGGTGGGAAAACGAAATTTTCAGTACGAAACATTCAGGCCGTTAAACAAAAATAAATAAAGATATTATTTTATAAATAAACGCTTTCCTTCAAAAGTGTATCCACCGAAATTTTTTTTTCGGGTGATAATATGCATATACATATATATATCTAAATGAGTCGAGACAATTGGGAAGCTTAACTTTCAGTCTGGCACAAGTTAGACACAGTATCGCACCTTTATTAAAGTTTAGGTAGATGCCTATCTATTGGTCAATTTTCATGATTATTTCATTTTCATGTTTATTTATTCATCGTTTTTAGTTTTTGGTTTGATATAAAATTTTTTACAGCTTATCAACCTTTTAAATTATTACAATTAAAAACACTAAATTTTTAGATTGTAATTAAATTGTTTTGAGATAATTGGTTTACTGATACTAAGATGGGAGACTTAACCCATATCGGAGTTGGAAAAGAGTTGGAAACACATTTTGTTATGGTAATATACCACGCACGATATCTCTTTGGCTATAAACACCTAAAGGGTTGATGCCCGTTAAAGAGGGAAGTTTCAATCAATCAGCTCTGGACCACAGACCGAACATTCTTGCCGTCCTCTCGTTTGTATGTTTGATTACTGTTTTGTTAATATATTTGTTTAATATTCAAGTGTCGTTATTTCTGATCAGGAGTTTCTGTCTGTTCGCAATCATCTATCTATCTATCTATCTATCTCCTTTTTTCATATTTATTTGTTTATCTATCTATCTGGTCTGTTCACATCTCTATCTCCTTCTTCATCATCTATCTATCTGTTTATGGTAATTTATCCACGCCGCATGGACTCTGCCAGCTATAAATAGGGCAGGTACTGCCTTTTTTGGAGGGAAGTTTCCATACAGTCAGATACAGTCGGACCGAACATTCTTGCCAGCACACATTGAGTATACCATGGATCGAACATTTTGAACAAAATTTTTAGAAAATGGAACCAAAAAAACATACTAACATCAGGAAGATACAGTTGTGGTTTCTGGGGGCCATAATGAGGAAGGATTGCTTGGAAAAACTGATACTCACAGGACAGATTGAAGGCAAGAGAGACGGGAGAAAACAACATATTTAATGAGCTTAACTAAATTAATGGCTGAACAGGACTTAGGAGAAATAACAGAATGACAAAATTTATTAAGAGGACAGGAAGTTGTGGAGAGCCATGATCGCCTACGTCCTAATAAGACACGGCACATAAACAAAAAGATAGCCGTAAGCCGATAAAAAAAAGCAAGAAGAAGATTGGGTGGGACGAGAGAGGGAGAGAATAAGAAAAGAGAGAGAGTAATAATAAGGAGAGAGAGGATATGAAACGAGAGAGAAAGACAGAATAAGAAGAGAGAAAACGACAATAAGGAAAGAGAGAGAATAAGGAAAAAAAGAAAGAAAGAGTAAGAAGAGAGAGAGAGAATAAGAAGAGAACGAGAATAAGGAGAAAGAGAATAAGAAACCGAGAGAGAGAGACAGAATAAGAATTGAGAGAGAGGGAATAAGAAAAGAAAGAGAAAGACAGAATAAGAAGAGAGAAAGACAGAAAAAGAAGTGAGAGCGAGAATAAGGAGAGGGAAAGAATAAAAAGAGAGAGAAAGACATAATAAGAATAGAGAGAGGAGGAATAAGGAGAAAGAGAGAGCGAGAATAAGAAAAGAGAGAGCAAGACAGAATAAAAGAGAGAGAGTTAGAATAAAAGAGGGAAAGAATAAAGAGAGAGAGAAAGACAGAATAAGAATAGAGAGAGGAGGAATAAGGAGAAAAGAGAGCGAGAATAAGAAAGAGAGAGCAAGACCCAATAAAAAGAGAGAGTGAGAATAAACTGCAACTAAGAATAAAGAGAGAGAGAAAGACAGAATAAGAATAGAGAGAAAGGAATAAAGAGAGAGTTATCTAAAGAAAAGAGAGAGCAAGACAGAATAAAAAGAGAGAGGCTAGAATAAAGAGAGAGAAAGAATAAAGAGAGAGAGAAAGACAGAATAAGAATAGAGAGAGAAAGGAATCCGAGAGAGAGAGCGAGAATAAGAAAAGGTTTTTCAGTCACTAAAAAAAGAGTCGAGAATATAAGAGAGGGAAGTAAAGAGAGAGAGAAAAAGACAGAATAAGAATTGAGAGGGAGGAACAAGCAGAAAGAGAGGCGAGAATAAGAAAAGAGAGAGAGCAAGACAGAATAAAGAGAGAGAAATAAATAAAAGAGATAAGAATAAATAAAGAGAGAGAAAGACAGAATAAGAATAGAGAGAGGAGGAATAAGGAAAAGAGAGCGAGAATAAAAAAAAGAGATAAGACAGAATAAAAGAGAGAGAGAGAATAAAGAGAGGGAAAGAATAAAGAGAGAGAGAGAAAAGACAGAATAAGAATAGAGAGAGAAGGAACAAGGAGAGAGAGGCTCTTTAAGAAAAGAGAGAGGTAGATGAATAAAAAGAGAGTCAGAATAAAGAGAGAGAAAGAATAAAAGAGAGAAAGACAGAATAAGAATATTTATAGGAGGAATTTTTTTAGAAAGAGAGAGCGAGAATATTTCTTTTTACAGACAGAATAAAAAGAGAGAGAGAGCGAGAATAAAGAGAGGGAAAAGAATAAAAAAAGAGAAAGACAGAATAATAATTTTTAGATTAGGAATAAGGAGAAAGAGAGAGCGAGAATAAGAAAAGAGAGAGCAAGACAGAATAAAAGAGAGGGCGAGAATAAAAGAGAGAAAGAATAAAGAGAGAAAAAGACAGAATAAGAATAGAGAGAGAAGGAATAGGAGAGAGAGAGCGAGAATAAGAAAAGAGAGAGTAAGACAGAATAAAAAGGAGCAGGAATAAAGAGAGAAAAGAATAAAGAGAGAGAAAAAGACAGAATAAGAATAGAGAGTCAGAGGAATCAGGAGAGAGAAACAGGGTCGTTTGAAAAAGAGAGTAAGACAGAATAAAAAGAATATATTTGTTTAATAAAGAGAGGGAAAAGAATAAAAGAGAGAGAGAAAGACAGAATAAGAATAGAGGGAGGAGGAATAAGGAGAAAGAGAGAGCAAGAATAAGAAAAGAGAGAGAGCAAGACAGAATAAAAAGAGAGAGAGCGAGAATAAAGAGAGAGAAAGAATAAAGAGAGAGAGAGAAAGACAAAATAAGAATAGAGAGAGGAGGAATAAGGAGAAAGAGAGAGCGAGAATAAGAAAAGAGAGAGCAAGACAATAAAATGAGAGAGAGCGAGATTTAGAGAGGGAAAAGAATAAAAAGAGAGAGAAAGACAGAATAAGAATAGAGAGAGGAGGAATAAGGAGAAAGAGAGAGCGAGAATAAGAAAAGAGAGAGCAAGACAGAATAAAAAGAGAGAGGGCGAGAATAAAGAGAGAGAAAGAATAAAGAGAGAGAGAGAAAAGACAGAATAAGAATAGAGAGAGAGGAATAAGGAGAGAGAGAGCGATAATAAGAAAAAGAGAGTAAAGACAGAATAAAAAGGAACCGAAATAAAGAGAGGGAAAGAATAAAGAGAGAGAGAGACAGAATAAGAATAGAGAGAGGAGGAATAAGGAGAAAAGGCGAGAATAAGAAAAGAGAGAGAGCAAGACAGAATAAAAGGAGAGATTGAAGAATAAAGAAGAGAAAGAATAAAGAGAGACAACATAATAAGAATAGAGAGAGAAGGAATAAGGAGAGAGAGCGGAATAAGAAAAGGAGAGAAGACAAATAAAAAGAGAGAGGGCGAGAATAAAATTTAAAGTATAAAGAGAGAGAAAGGACAGAATAAGAATAGAGAGAGGAGGAATAAGGAAAAGAGAGAGAGAATAAGAAAAGAGAGAGCAAGACAGAATAAAAAGAGAGATAGCGAGAATAAAAGAGAAAAAAAAAAGAGAAGAAGAAAGAATAAGAATAGAGAGAGAAGAATAAGGAGAGGAGAGAGAATAAGAAAAGAGAGAGTAAGACAGAAAAAAGAGAGAAGAAATAAAGAGAGAGAGAATAAAGAATAAGAAGACAGAATAAGAATAGAGAGAGGAGGAATCAGGAGAGAGAGAGCAGAATAAGAAAAGAGAGAGCAAGACAGAATAAAAGAAGAGAGAGAATAAAAAGAGAAAAGAAAAAGAGAGAGAGAAAGACAGAATAAGAATAGAGAGAGGAGAATAAGGAGAAAGAGAGAGAGAATAAGAAAGAGAGAGCAAGACAGAATAAAATGAGAGAGAGCGAGAATAAAGAGAGAAAAGAATAAAGAGAGAGAGGACAGAATAAGAATAGAGAGAGGAGAATAAGGAAAAGAGAGAGCGAATAAGAAAAGAGAGAGAGCAAGACAGAATAAAAAGAGAGAGAGCGAGAATAAAGAGAGGGAAAGAATAAAAAGAGAGAGAAAGACAGAATAAGAATAGAGAGAGAAGGAATAAGGAGAGAGAGAGCGAGAATAAGAAAAGAGAGAGTAAGACAGAATAAAAAGAGAGAGGGCGAGAATAAAGAGAGGGAAAGAATAAAGAGAGAGAGAAAGACAGAATAAGAATAGAGAGAGGAGGAATAAGGAGAAAGAGAGAGCGAGAATAAGAAAAGAGAGAGCAAGACAGAATAAAAAGAGAGAGAGCGAGAATAAAGAGAGGGAAAGAATAAAGAGAGAGAGAAATACAGAATAAGAATAGAGAGAGAAGGAATAAGGAGAGAGAGAGCGAGAATAAGAAAAGAGAGAGTAAGACAGAATAAAAAGAGAGAGGGTGAGAATAAGGAGAGAGAGAGAATAAGTAGAGAGAGAGAAAGACAGAATCAGAAAAGAGACCTTGAGTAAATTGATGGCGGTTTAGGAGAGATTACAAAAAGACAAAAAGAGTAATTGTGTGGAGCCATGATTGTCAATGTCCTGTACAGACTCGGCACACTGAAGAAGAAAAAGAAGTAAAGTTATGAATAGCTATGGAATTTCCAAAGATCTACTGAGTTCATTTGTTATTGGTAATATTTTGTGACCTTGATTATAGCATTAGAGTCACTGCTACTAATTGTTCTTATTAAAGCAATTATCGAAATTTAGAATCCATACGTAAATTGCTCTGATGACTAAGTACATATTGTATGCGTCATACACTTTCATGATATAACGACCTGATTTAGATGGTTTAAGTAAATTTTTACCCGTAACATTATTGTTTTATCTTTGTGCTACCCTCGAGTCACTCAAATATAATTAGGTTACACACAGTTGGTATTCACTAAGCATAACTGCAGCATCTATAAATAAGAAACTAGCCATTTAATATTAATGAAAAAATAAAACTACAGCCAGTAATATCCCCTTAGTCCTTTCTAAGCGTCAGCGCATGGCCGATTAGTTAGATCCCGGTTCGAACCTCAGCATAGTCGATTTGTCAAAGAGTTAACTTCTTGATCATATCGGATAGTGCTTATAGCCAAATCACGATGAAACACCGGCTCACCAAAGTTAACCAACGTTGAACCTGGTCAGTACCTAGATGGCTGATGTCTTAGGAATACCAGGTGCTGTAAGATTGGATGTGCGGGTGGTGTAATGGATTGTGACTCGGAATTAGAGATCGAAGAGCCGAGTTCCAATTCCGGTTAGGTTCGTTATATTCACTTATGCGCAAATACCACTGGGATAAGTATGAATCCACATCTTCTCCCCTCAGTTATGGGTTAATTAGTAAGAGGTATAACCAAAAAAACAATATTATCTCAAAAAAAATTGTATAAAATTTTGTACAAAATATTTATATTTCGGCGTTAAATAAACCATGAAGGTGTTAATATGCAACTAAAAAAACAACCAACCAATCAATATATCAAGAGACGATTCCTTCGTATGGTACTAATAGAAAATTCCTGAAAACCATACCACGTGTTGATCTAAGCCTTGTGAGTGAAATTGGGCCGACGTTGTTATATGAATGTCCATGATTGTAATTAAACATTTGCCAGTGAATCGGGTTTGGGCATTAAATAATCCATAAAGGTGTTGATATGCCGTTAAACAAACGAAACTCTTCATAAAAACTTCCAGCATGCCCGGAATTAAAAAGTCTTTCAAAAGCACGACTTGACACGTTTATTTCATCGCTCGGCAATGTTTGTAGTCTTAAAAAGCGATAATTAGAATTTTAATAAAGCCCTAAACATATGAAAGTTAATTTATATATTTTGAGAATTTATCACAAAAATATTAAACACTATCTATATAATAGCTGGCCACTCGTATTCAAAGATATCCGTCTACTAAGGGCGGCTAACCAATCCCTATTGCAGACGCTCGATCAGGCACATTTGTGTTTGCGCGACACCCACAGAGCCCACCTGTGGTTTATACTGCAACTATTACAGTTTCTGGGAAAGAGCGTGTTATCTAGCGTGATAAACAATTTCAGCAAGGCTCGTATGCTCAAGCCCTCGGCCACGATGACTTGTGACTTTGTGCTAGCACAGGTTCCGTCTACTAAATTTCAATTGTTTTTTTTTTTTTTTTCAGGCACTTTACAAAGTCGATCCATTCCGATAACACCAGGAAGTTTCCTTCCTGACAAATCGACCGTGGTGAGATTTTAACCCGGAAATCATGTTCTAGCCACAAGCGCCCATACACGATTTATTTAATAGATTGTTCATTTACATGAATAATTTTATATTTACAACATTCTAAAACTGCGAACCCCCAAAACTGCGAAGCAACTGATGCAATGCAATCTTTATCATTTATCAATTTATAAAGAAATAAATATTTGTTTTATAATTCATAGATATTTTTTTATAAAATGATAAAATAAAAAAATCTTGTTAATTGTTAAATAGTAAATAATATTGCGTTGTAAATGGTTTACATATTTCAATAATTTTGTAATTTTTTAAATTTTTGAATAAAAATATTTCTTTTCATATTTATTTCTTCAGAAAATGCTAAATAATAATTTTTTCTTAGCCATGGGTTGGTCACACAGCAGCCACCTACAGACTCATGATTATCCGAGCTAGCGCCACCGAATACCGTAATTTCTCGAAAATAATACGTATTTTTTACTGTAAATTATAGGTGATAGTAGGGGTGCGTATTATAAATAGGTTTAAACAAAAAGATTTTTTTACCTTACTGATTCATAATTGTTGTGTCGGAAACCTACCACCCCTCTGGAAGATGAACTTGTCTGTGAACAAAGACTTTAAATAGTGGCATGTCAGTTGACATGGGGGAAAGTCAGATAGACAGATAGGGTAAGACCTCTGAGTCGTGATACAGTCTTTGACTGTAAGCGACGTCTGTCGAACTCTCTGCATTAGCAGAGAGGAACCCGGACGAAGCTTTGCCGAAGGGCAAGGTTTCGTCCGGGGAGGTAGATAGGGCCTGAAACCCGTCTAGGCGGGTTCAAAGGCTATATTTTGGCCGAGCCTACGGGCTCGGAGATACCCACATTAAACCGGCCTTGTGCCACATTCAATCCTCGTGGGTGGATCGATAAATACTAAGACAGATAGACAGAGAAGTTCTTAGCTGAGCTAGTTATTGACTACTCGAGCGATTTCTGTACTTTTTTACAAACCTATTAAAACCCTTTTTATTGTTACGTGTTATTTGGCGTTTGTCTCTACTAACCCCAAATCAACATCATAACAATAATAATAAATACGTACTTGATGTTCTAAAATAAGAAAGATATTATCCCAATTTTCATTTTAAATCCAACAATAATAATTGTAACAATTTTGTCAATAATTTGTTTTCAGCAACCGCATTTTTAATTTGTCGAAAAAATAAAAAATCTATAAAAAGGCCAATTTCGAAGAAATGAGAATATTAAATTAGGAATTTATTGAAATTTTAATTTTCATCATCATCATCATCATCACCATATTCTATTATAGAATCAATATTTTCCTCTACCTATAGCTTTGGCACTTGATTTAAACTATTTTAGTTCATTTTTATTCTTTCTCCATAAACGTATGTTAGCCTCAGTCAACTCATATTCTCCAGCTGCAGCTCTGTTTCCTTTCCTCTTTGCTAATTCTATTACATTTTGTTTAAAATTTGCACTATAACTCGCACGTTTTGACGACATTTTGGCGGGAAAATAAAATGTTATATTTATCGGGAAAACCGCTGGTAATTTAAAACATTATTTTATGTCGCTTAGTTTCGATTTTATTTTTAATGTCAAAGTCGACAAAATGTCTTCGTAATTATTTTTTTTTTTTTTTTGACAAAATTTATAGATGCGCATTATACATAGGGATAGATATATTTCTTAATTTTTGGATCATTTGTTGTGGCGCGTATTATTTATGGGTGCGTATTATTTTCGAGAAATTACATTAAATAAAATAAACATTAGCCGATGGAATGAAGGTAATCCGTCCTGGGTATGACGATGAACTACATCCGAGAGGAAGTTTTCGAGTAGGAGCGTGGAATCATTTCTTAATTTGTTTGTTCCCAAATCCACACTGACCCAGGGTGGTAGCACCTGTTAGGGTCACAGCTATGGGCAAATAGTGAACCCCCAACACATGAAAATATAAAAATACATTAGAAAAAATTACTTTTCATAGTTGTCATGGGTCCTTACCTATAACTACAGAATGAACTCTTTCTAACACTATGTATACTACGCCTCTCAAGAGAGAGGGTCGAATCGAGCCGAGCTTCTTGGCTTGACGGTCGAACTTATCTGAGCAGAGAGGGACAGAACGAGACTCCGCCGAAGGGCAGAGTCTCGTTCAGGGAGGTTGATTAACCCGATCCCGTTTATACGGGTTCTACGGGCATTTTTGGCCGAGCCTACGGGCTCAAAGTTCTCGGCCTTGTGGATTGCAACCCTTGGGGGGGCTAGATACCGAATCGAGTCGAGCTTCTCAGATTGACGGTCAAGTCTCTGCCTTTGAGCAGAGAGGAACCTGGACGAGGCTCCGCCGAAGGGCAGTGTCTCGTCCAGGGAGGTTGACTAACCCGATCCCGTTTATACGGGTTCTACGGGCATTTTTTGGCCGAGCCTACGGACTCGGGAAACCCACATTAAACTCGGCCTTGTGCCAAATGCAACCCTTGGGGGGGGGCTAGATACCGAATCGAGTCGAGCTTCTCAGATTGACGGTCGAACTCTCTGCCTTTGAGCAGAGGGAACCTGGACGAGGCTCCGCCGAAGGGCAGAGTCTCGTTCAGGGAGGTTGACTAACCCGATCCCGTTTATACAGGTTCTACGGGCATTTTTTGCCGAGCCTACGGGCTCAGGAAACCCCACGTTAAACTCGGCCTTGTGCCAAATGCAATCCTTGGGGGGTGGCTAGATATCGAATCGAGTCGAGCCGATAGTAGTTCACTCCAAACCAGACTGACAGTCATACTAACACCTTCCACATCTTGTATTATTATTTCGTGTAATATACCTTCGTTATTTCTACTCTTGTGTTCGTGTTGTTCTTCCTTGGGTCCTAACCTGTACCATAACAAGTATTTCAGATTTTTGTAGTGAATCGACTTTCTCAAAAAGATTTAGTTTAAGAAGTAAAATATAGTGATGCTGTTGAACGTTTCGTTCTGACAATTCATATACGAGAGTAAGTCAAAAATTATCTGAACCTTGACCATAACATGTGTTTAGGTGTGTCGCACTACCTTCTATTCATGCGGGTTTATAGATGGTAGAATTTTGATCAATTTGGTCGTTATTTCTACTCTTGTGTTCGTGTTGTTCTTCCTTGGTCTTAACCTTGGACCATAACAATAGTAAAAAAATACCGCCAATATATTATTGGAAAAAGAATTATCAGCAATACATTTTTGAAAAAAAAGAAAATAAAATTCCCTATGCTTACAAGAAAAAATTTCGGCATAAAATGACACATAAGTGGTTGATATGCCGTTAAACAAACAAATCAAACCAAAACAAAATTAATGCACAATAACAGTGGTGTCAAGGAAAAAAAACCGTCTTTTTGACACACTGTTTTTTGTTGCTTTTTTTTTTTTCAGATACGAAAGTTAAAGTTTGCCGAACTTCCATTAAGACTTTATACCCTTGTCTCACGTGCCTCTTCTGTTTAAACCAGCTTTAAAAAAAAAATCAGTTTTATTGCCATATTCACGAAGTTTCGGTCGTTCTGCCTTCTTCAGGAGATTGGAATTTCGAAGTTCTAGTTCCAGTTGCCATGCGTCTCCTGGATGTCAAAATTATCTCCCTTTCTTCTCTTTATCAATCTCCTGAAAAAACCCTTTCTGCCTCCCATCAACATGGCTGCTACTAACCTCCAAGTGAATAACTCGTTGCGCCTACTTGGGATTCTCAGCTGAAAACACTACATAGATTCTATCGTGGAAACACTACATAGATTCTATTGGAAACTAGATTCTATCTACTAAACACTACTGTTTTACTCTGTAATATTAGACACTTTTCTCCTCTGGATCTATCTTACGTATTTATAAGTCTACCATTCCTCCATGTTTTGAATATTATTGTCATATATGATCTGGTGCTCCCGCTGTATATTTAGAGATTCTCGATAAAATCCAAAGAAGAATCTGCAATATTTTGGGCTCTGACCTGGTGTCTCGGCTTCAGTCACTTTCCCACCGCTTTCATGCAGCTTCCCTTTTGCTCGTTTTCTATAAATATTTTCATGTTAACTGTTCATATGAAAATTTCACTATGGTACACAGACTTTATTAAGTACTAGATTGGCGACAAAGTCTCATCAATTCACGGATGAATTGGATAGATATAACCGTATGTTATATGTTTACAGCTTCTTTTCTCAACTACGGAACTCTCTTCCGACTTCATGCTTTCCAGCTAACTTTGATCTTTACAAATTTAAATGCAATGTCAATCGTTATCTACCGTCTTCTTGATTACTCTTTACCCATTGTTCTCGCTCCTTAATAATGTTTCTCTTCTTTCTTATTCTAACACAGTCAGTAAGCACTCGTGTCTTTACTGCCTTGTACGGGGTGATGGGATTTTTTCAAAAACTAAACCTCATTCCCTCTATCGCTCTTTCTCACTCTCTCTTTTCTCGTCATCGATTTGAGGCAAAGAAATCCATCTATTTATAAATGCGTTTATCAATTTTAGATGACAGTTTATTATAAACATGCCGCGAGAAATAGATGCACTATTCAAGCTTTCAATCAGTGGAATTTTAGACGTTTAGGAATTGGGTGACGTTTTTCTATAGAATATCAGATATTCAGAACGTCTGCTGACTCCATGTTTTTGTGTCAGCTTCGGCTCGAATTGGCGGAACCTGTATTCATATCTCCACCACTTGTCACTGTTCAATCTTCAAGTCGGTAATCCCCAATAAATCAGAATGACATATCTATTTCATCATTTTTCTTTTCAATTACATGGGGATCAACATATTCCGGCAAACCGAAGTGAATCGATGATTAGTTTCCCGGCAAATGAAAGAAAGTAAAATCATTTCTAAATATGGCGTCATGTGAAGATAATGAAACAAAATGGAATTTTTTTTTTTATAAAAGGCGCGTTTCGCCGGAAAAAGCTCATGTTCTCTTTGGTGTCCTCAGTTTGAATAAAAGAAAACTGTGTAAGGAAAATGTCTTGCTATCTCTGAGGATAAGTTCTTTGTCGTAAATAGGATTAATTACTCTAACTTATCACTTCCTGGATTGTCTGAATGTCTCTCTGCTTGTTTGTTTTGTCTGTACTAGAGCCGTTTAGTATTGTAGGATTTTAATATCAGGGACTTTTTATTATTATTTTTATATACACGTATATACCTACATACACATACGCACATACATACATACACACACATGTATACATACATACATACACGCAAAAAAATGCATGCATACATACATGTACACAATGCATACACACATATAAACATTCTTACATACTTGTGCCTACATATACATCCACGTAGGTATATACATGTATTGGAGCCTTTTTTTTATTTTTCATGCTTGTTCATACATGTATACATATAGATGCCCATCGATATATACCAATGAACACAAACATATAAAAGAGCGACAAAAGAAGTAAATCTTCCAAATTCCTAATCAGACAATTAAAAATGGCTGCCAAGGAACTACGTAACCATATTCATATAACTTTTTAAAAAAATGCATATAAAACCAATATCTTTGTTGTATTGGATGAATTTTATTATAATTTAAAATTACAGCAAATATTCGACAATATCATCAATTTTTTTAAAAAAAATCAACAAAACAAAACCAACAATGAAGAACAAGACAACTTCCCAAAATAATTAGTGACTACAAACTAAGACACATGTATGGAACTATAAAAATACATAAACCTTAATTCCATATCCGTCCTATCATATCCTAAATCCCAACTCCGGTTTATCAATTAACTAAAATTATTAACTAACTCATTACACCATACATACCTAACAAATACAGTATTATATCATCTCACGAATTAATCCAAATCTTAAAAATACAAAAACGTAATAATGAAACCATAACCTCACTTGATGTTGAAAGTTTATTTATCAATGTTCCAATGTCAGAGAAACGCTTGTTATAATTATAAAGAATATTTACAACAAACCATCTCTCCCCTCCATTAAAAGTTAAACTTAACATATTACCGAAACTGCTTTTGACTTGTACCACTGAGGTTCCCTTCTATGACCAAAATAATATCTACGTACAAGATAGAGTTTCTATGGGTTCAGTTCTGGGACCAACATTTAGTAACTTTTGTATGACTAATCTTGAAAATAAGATATTTAATTCTACTAAAAACCCTCCATTTACCTAAGATATGTAGATGATATTCTCATCTACGTTAAAAACATAGATAAAATACATAAACTATAAAAAAAAATGTTAAAAAAACTCCGTTCTTAAATTCACATATGAATTTAACAATAACAATAAAATTCCTTTATTATATTGATAGAAACCAATAATAATACATTTACTACCTCCCCATATAAAAAAACACTAACTAGCATAAACACGTGCACTCTCAGCTATAAAAGTGAATGCCCTATAACAAGATACCTATTATGCAATATTTAATAAACCATGCAAAAGTTAAGTCTTTCACAAAACTGTTTCCACATTGGATTAAAAAAAAACATTCAATAAACTCTCATTAATAATAACTTTCCAAATTACATTGTTGATGGACAAATTAGACGAGCTATTAGAAATATTAACATAAATAAAAAAGAATATATTACTTCCTCAAATAATCCTAAACATATTAACCTACTATACCGCAATGGAATACGTTCTAACTACAAACAAGATGAAAAAAATCTTTAAAAAAAACTCATAACCACTAATATATTCCCCCATTCATCCCAGTAAAAAAAATAAAATTAATTATATGCTATACTAAATTTAATACGACCAACTTAATCACCCGCAATAAATCTTCTTTGTCAATTAGTGTTTTGCAAAAGATCAACATTGTATACCAATTTAAATGTCCTTTGGGAGATTGTATCTCTGACAGAAAAGTAAATATATATGTTGGTTACACGACAACAACATTATCTAGAAGATTTACACTACACATATCGGATACAAGTTCTATCGCACAACATTTAAAGACAAATTCCTGTCCACCTTCACAATTTAATAACACAAGTATACTCCACCATGAAAATAAAAAACAAAAACTTCAAATTCTCCAGATCCTCTATATAAGGAGTAAGCGGAATTGTAATAAGTTTACAGCCTTCTGTCACACTAAGCAAAGATTAGCAAATAATAATATAAAAAAAAACATATTCGTTTGAGTTACGACGCTAAGCAACGTCGATGTCTGTGAATTCTTAGATGGGTGACTACAATGGAACACCAGGTATTGTAAAGAGTTTGTAGATTAGTGTTACATAATCGAAGATTAGTAACTAAAAAGATAAAACTTTCATAGTCATTTGAGAATCGACGTTAAGCAGTGTCCAGGTTGGTCAATACTTAGATAGGTGACTACAATGGAACATGAGGTATTGGAAGGAGTTTGATTAAATAGACGTTTATTGTCTCCTGATCAACGAAGTTAAGCAATGTCGAATATAACGAATATTTAGATGAGTGACAATTACTGGACTTTCGTCAGACTATACAAATATTATTAAAGAAAGAAAGGAGTTCATAGTCGTTTGAATACCGACGTTAAGCAGCGTCGAAGTTGGTCAGTACGAAGATGGGTGACGGCAATGGAATACTAAATATTGTAAAGAGTTTGCAGCATCGAAGGTTAATAAATAAAAAATAACAACCTTCGTAGTCGTTTGAGTACCAACGTTAAGCAACGTCGAAGTTGGCCAGTACTAAGTTGGTGACCACTAAGTGACCCCAAATATTCTATGCAGTTTGTGTTCTTATTCCAGACTATGCAAACTTTGATAAATAGAAAATAAAAACAATCATAGCCAACTCATGGCTAAAGTTAAGCAACATCGAAGCTGTTCAGTACTAAAATGGGTGACTGCCGAGGAACAATGACTATTGTAAGCGACTTGCAACTTTGTGTCTAAAACACCAGATTTGATAAAAAAAATCTTGTGACCTTAGCTCAAACAAAGTAACGTTTAGTAAATGAACTCCTTTGCTGGACTTATCTTTTCCAGCCATATAAGGAGGGTTTTATTGATTTATTTGTTTTTTAGGGTTTATCAACCTTTGGCAGGTTATTTAAAGCCAGTAAATATATTTTAGATTGTATGAATTTGTTGAAGATGATTTACTGATACAAGTGTTACTAATTACTAATGGGAAGAGGAGCTAGATTCATATATTTCCCAAGGGTATTTACGCGAAAACAAATATAACAAACACGGTGGGAATTGGATCTCGCCTCTCCAATTTCCAATTCTGAGCCGTTATCCATTACACCACCCGCACATCTATACATATAAGGTGGGAGACAGTAAATATAATCTATAGAATAAAACAAAAATTCTTGATTATCACGTATAAGGAATTTCGAGAAAAAAAAAAGAGAACCAGTAGTTTTCGGAGAACTCGTCAGTGATCTATAGCAGCTTTTAAGTGTGAGAAGGGAGGGGGAAAATGTTAAAATGATCTAAAAATTACAGTTCTGGTTCTAGTTTATGTTATTATTTAGAGCCAAGTTTTACTAAATTTTTCTTAAGTTTTGTTCACCCAATACAAGGCCCAAGAACCACTGAAGACCCAAGGTAGGGCGTTATTGAATTAGGTTGTTAGAAAAGAGGGAAAAGGAGGAAGCAAAAAGTGCATCTCATGAGGATATGTAGGATAAATAACCATTGACTCCAGACTTGATGAGGTTAAGACTGTAAGGTTTAGGGGATCATCCTCACTGGAGTCTGTTCTACAAAGTAGTAACGCTATACTTCTAATATCGCCACCTAAATCTTTGAACTTTTATTTATTAGTAGTAGCATGGCCCGGCGTTGCCCGTGCTTGATTCAAAAATCGTACGACTCATACAGCAATCGCTATCACTTGACTTAAAATATTTTTGCCCTTCCTTGCCTTTAAAGGAGTGCCCTTTGCCGTGCTGATGTTGCTACATGCCTTACTTCTTGCCTATCTCACACTGTGAATTTTTTCTAAGCTCTATACTAAACATTAAATCTGTTACGAAAAAAGAACTAAACAAAATGAACTCAAAACGATCAGCTTTCAAAAAGGACTCGTAACTGGAAAAACCGAATGAAAAAATTATGTTAACAACAAATGGTTTTTCACACCCAACCCAGTTCTGCGGAATCAGAATCAACGTTGAGTTTAAGCAAGCGAATGATCCAATTGGAGTAAAGTGCCATGCAGACTTAATTTTTCCCACTTGTGACGAATGCAGCTATCGATTTTTTTTTGCATGCTAGTTAACATTCGTGTCAGTCAGCGGTTGGCTCTCACGCTGGCCAATAGAATCTTCCTATCTATTCGTAGCAACCAGCTATAGGCTCTCACTCTGGCCAGTACAAAATGGCCACAAACTACATGAAAACTGCCGTAGAAGCATGAAAAATCGATTATTTGCACTATCGGTGGGAGTTGGAAAATGCAAAGTCGGTCTTGGCATTCCCACTAATATGGAGCATGTGCATGTAAATTTTCGTGCAAATCCGTCGAAAATTGCGGCCGTGCATTCGTTACACACACACACACATACATCCTGCCTTTTATAGTTAGAGATTGAATTACTTTTTCTTTTCTCAATAGGGGTAGATAGGTTCGTTTATCATTTGGTTCACACTCCTCTCCTATCTTTCGAACAGGAGTAGGGGTTTATCCTCTGTTTCTCTTTAGGACTGGGTTTCCGGTTCCTTTCAAAGCCTTTTCTTTCTCTTTCACTTCTGATAGCATCTTGCATCTTGGTGGCATTATGTCTTTGTTTGGTGTGGCGCCTCTTACTCTATAACCCTCTGTATAGAGTGACACTTGGGCCTCATACAGGGTGACTATCATTATA